GGTGCATGTTATTTAATTGAATTGTTAAAATAATCCAAAAATTAATAATTACAAAAGTATTCACCCGATTTCTTACCCGATTAATTTGGTCGGAAGTCGGATAGGAGTACCACACTTGATTGGGTAGGGTAAGCCAAGAAAAAATTCTTTTTACAAAATATCAGGTAGAAAGACGAAAAATCATATTTTCTAACCGTAGGGTAAGATGAACACCCTTACTCTCATCCAAGAAATGATATACATTGGAGTTGCAGTTTTTGGGTTGCATAACATTTTTTTTTAATCCAAAAAAGGGGAGAGGGTGACCACTAAATAATAACCCTTTAGGGGTGACCATGAGGGCCTCTTCACTGTGAAATGCCCGATTTTAATCATAGTTACTAATTCGGAAAGGTAGTCCGTCACTATAACACCACTAAAATCAAGCAACAAACCACGTCGTTCTTGTGAATTAAACTCTGTTTGATAATTACATGTGAACTAAAGACGACCTTAAACGGGTACAACTTACCACTAGACTATTAGCTCGGATGGTGAAGTATTTTAGACTCAAAGTAACAAAATATGATAAGTTTAACATCCTCAGTTGGGAACCAAATGCTCTCCTAATTCCAAATCATNAAAATATTGAAGAAATACTTAAAAGACATATAAGTAATGTTAATTTTTTTTTTTTAGGGTAGGCATGTGCCCCCCTGACATATGCTGGCTTTGCCCATGCGTTGATAACTTTTTATTAGGTGTGCACACTATTCATACTGATACTGTTGTGTGGTGTGTAAAACTATTTTTTGAACGGTATAACACACTTAGAAATTTTTTCAAAGTGAATAAGATGGGTGTANTGATTCCTTTTTCAATCTCTCTAGTCTCTCTCACTAAAGCACTTACACAAAAGACCAGAGCACTCAAACTGAGAACCAGTTGGGTCTTGATCTGCTTCTCATCNTATTCATACTGATACTGTTGTGTGGTGTGTAAAACTATTTTTTGAACGGTATAACACACTTAGAAATTTTTTCAAAGTGAATAAGATGGGTGTAGTCAACGCAATTGTGAAGGGAATAAATTAGCTGAAGCTTTATCCTACGTTGTGAAGGGAATAAATTAGCTGAAGCTTTTGACGATTCTAAGTGAGACCTCGGTGAGTAGACTAAATCCTCTTCTGACGGAGCTGGACTTTGACTCTTTTGGAGAGAATTTGTTATATGGATGAATCGGTTTACATTTTGTCTTGACANTGACGATTCTAAGTGAGACCTCAGTGAGCAGACTAAATCCTCTTCTGACGGAGCTGGACTTTGACTCTTTTGGAGAGAATTTGTTATATGGATGAATCGGTTTACATTTTGTCTTGACATTTGACTACGTTTCTTTTTTTATTTTGATCATCGTTAGAGATTTACAAATAACTTATCAAACCTGACACGGGATAGGAGAATAATTCAGTTTCGAGACGAACAACTCTTTTCTAAGTTCAGGAAAGAAAACTTAGCCAAATTTTCTTTCCAAGCCATTAATAATTGTCAGATTTTCAATAGGTCTGGCTATCCCTTCAAAATTTATTTCCTTTCATTGGTCAGTAAATTATGAGTGATTTTGTCGGGTAGAAATCTGAAATCTCTATAACATATTATCTCGTCAAATATATGTCATATACATACTAGGTGGGAGACGTTCTTTTTTGACTAATTATAATATACTCGGAACCAATCCAACGATCAATTTGTGCATCCAAACAAGTGTATTCAAAAATGGATTGGATTATTGTTCTAAACCCAACTTACATACCTGCCCAAACCCTCCAAACAAACAGGCCATAGGTGTGACAAGATGAGAAAGAAACCAACCAGTCAACCACAATGCCAGTCTTCTTTTGCTCCTACGCCAGAGAGTTAACTGCTAAAATTTTAAAGACATTGGCAACAACATAAATTGCTCTGAAGACACCTATATCAAGTAAAATCGAAAATCCCAGATAGTTCATTTTTAATATGAATTAAAAACAACGGGGAATAATTTTCATACTGTGGCTGTAGTTTAGTGGTAAGAATTCCACGTTGTGGCCGTGGAGACCTGGGCTCGAATCCCAGCAGCCACACACTCTAATTGAACCTTTTTGTCAATACCTTTCCATCCCAAGTTCCAATCCAATGCCGTTTGAAGTATTTTAGACTTTTTTTTTTTGGTTTTTTGAGTAATATTACACAATTCAAATGAAATTCAAAAAGTTACAAGCTAAATGTATATTATTTTTTAGATGAAAAGGTCCCATCAACTTTTTCAGTGAAACCCAGTCATCCAACGCTCATTTAGGGGTATTCAAATTTTCGATTAGCCGCAATTTTTTATTCTATTCGTCCCTATTGAACTACTAGCCAAAAAAATTGGGTATAAATGCAGAAGAGTTTTTGGTCTTTCAATTAAATCGGGTCGGAATGAGGAATAACCATTAATTTTCGTATTCCTACCCGCATTAATTTATATAATAAAACAACTCATACTTTGAATTTTATCTCAGTCATATTTTCTTCCTCAAAACCATCACCACTCACTTATCTCACCTATCATTTCTCTATCAGACTCAAACGTTAAGTCGTATCACTCATTTCTATCACATGTTTAATCATTTATATATTTCGTTTTTAAAAATATCACATCACTCATTTTTATCATATGTTTCATTATTTAATATTTGATTAATTTGTAGTTAATTTTTATTTCAAATATTATGCATATACAATAGTATACACATGTTAAAAAAATTTAATATAGTAGGATCGATTTTTTGGGTGTTAGAATTTTATATTTTATCGTGCCTTCAGGCACGAGTTATGACTAGTTTATATATATGGTTAAAACTTAAAATAATTGTTATTATATNGATTTTCAATAGGTCTGGCTATCCCTTCAAAATTTATTTCCTTTCATTGGTCAGTAAATTATGAGTGATTTTGTCGGGTAGAAATCTGAAATCTCTATAACATATTATCTCGTCAAATATATGTCATATACATACTAGGTGGGAGACGTTCTTTTTTGACTAATTATAATATACTCGGAACCAATCCAACGATCAATTTGTGCATCCAAACAAGTGTATTCAAAAATGGATTGGATTATTGTTCTAAACCCAACTTACATACCTGCCCAAACCCTCCAAACAAACAGGCCATAGGTGTGACAAGATGAGAAAGAAACCAACCAGTCAACCACAATGCCAGTCTTCTTTTGCTCCTACGCCAGAGAGTTAACTGCTAAAATTTTAAAGACATTGGCAACAACATAAATTGCTCTGAAGACACCTATATCAAGTAAAATCGAAAATCCCAGATAGTTCATTTTTAATATGAATTAAAAACAACGGGGAATAATTTTCATACTGTGGCTGTAGTTTAGTGGTAAGAATTCCACGTTGTGGCCGTGGAGACCTGGGCTCGAATCCCAGCAGCCACACACTCTAATTGAACCTTTTTGTCAATACCTTTCCATCCCAAGTTCCAATCCAATGTCGTTTGAAGTATTTTAGACTTTTTTTTTTGGGTTTTTTGAGTAATACTACACAATTCAAATGAAATTCAAAAAGTTACAAGCTAAATGTATATTATTTTTTAGATGAATAGGTCCCATCAATTTTTTCAGTGAAATCCAGTCATCCAACGCTCATCTAGGGGTATTCAAATTTTCGATTAGCCGCAATTTTTTATTCTATTCGTCCCTATTGAACTGCTAGCCAAAAAAATTGGGTAGAAATGCAGAAGAGTTTTTGGTCTTTCAATTAAATCGGGTCGGAATGAGGAATAACAATTAATTTTCGTATTCTTACCCGCATTAATTTATATAATAAAACAACTCATACTTTGAATTTTATCTCAATCATATTTTCTTCCTCAAAAACATCACCAATCACTTATCTCACCTATCATTTCTCTATCAGACTCAAACGTTAAGTCGTATCAGTCATTTCTATCACATGTTTAATCATTTATATATTTCTTTTTTAAAAATATCACATCACTCATTTTTATCATATGTTTCATTATTTAATATTTGATTAATTTGTAGTTAATATAATTTTTATTTCAAATATTATCCATATACAATAGTATACACATGTTAAAAAAATTTAATATAGTAGGATCGATTTTTTGGGTATTAGAATTTTATATTTTATCGTGCCTTCAGGCACGAGTTATGACTAGTTTATATATATGGTTAAAACTTAAAATAATTGTTATTATATTTGTGCAACAATTATGATAGATTGATGTTTATGATTTCTTGTATCTTATTCTAATTGTTGTTGTAATTATTTTAGATTTTAGTGTTATTGGTTTATGATGTTGTTAAATTGGTGCATGTTATTTAATTGAATTGTTAAAATAATCCAAAAATTAATAATTACAAAAGTATTCACCCGATTTCTTACCCGATTAATTTGGTCGGAAGTCGGATAGGAGTACCACACTTGATTGGGTAGGGTAAGCCAAGAAAAAATTCTTTTTACAAAATATCAGGTAGAAAGACGAAAAATCATATTTTCTAACCGTAGGGTAAGATGAACACCCTTACTCTCATCCAAGAAATGATATACATTGGAGTTGCAGTTTTTGGGTTGCATAACATGTTTTTTTTAATCCCAAAAAGGGGAGAGGGTGACCACTAAATAATAACCCTTTAGGGGTGACCATGAGGGTCTCTTCACTGTGAAATGCCCGATTTTAATCATAGTTACTAATTCGGAAAGGTAGCCCGTCACTATAACACCACTAAAATCAAGCAACAAACCACGTCGTTCTTGTGAATTAAACTCTGTTTGATAACTACATGTAAACTAAAGACGACCTTAAACGGGTACAACTTATCATTAGACTATTAGCTCGGATGGTGAAATATTTTAGACTCAAAGTAACAAAATATGATAAGTTTAACATCCTCAGTTGGGAACCAAATGCTCTCCTAATTCCAAATCATTATATTCCAGACTACTAGTATTCCATTCATTTGTATAAAGCATAAACCTTACATGAAATCTCATACAAATTTATATTGCTTGAAGGATTCTCCCACTGCATAAGTTCCTGGATTCCTTTTTCAATCTCTCTAGTCTCTCTCACTAAAGCACTTATACAAAAGACCAGAGCACTCAAACTGAGAACCAGTTGGGTCTTGATCTGCTTCTCATCATCTGCATCAGCTTGGATACTTTCAAGGGCTTCATTTGAATGTTGGAGATAAGAACTCATCGTCCTCTCTATCTCATCCTCATCCGATCTCGACAACCTAAACATGGTTGGAATTGGTGATTTTCCCAACTCAAGATCATAAGAAGTATCATTTTTTGAAAGCTCCTTTTCAAGTACTGTGAGTGATTTGATCAAAGTGACCTCCTGAAAACATTTTATGGGAGATACAACCATGTTTTTGAAAAGTTCAAGGTCACAATTGAGCTTATTTGCAGCCTCATTCCAGACAGTATTGTCAATTCTACTAGATTCTTGTTGAAGAAATCTAATTGCATGAGTCCCAAAAAGCAAGAAATCCACCATATTTGACAAAGACCCCAAGAGTTTATAATAGCAAGCACAATGAAATGGAAAAAACCAGAAATTGGGCTCCGCCTCAGCTTCCTCAATATATTTTCTTAGCTCATCTACATGGGTTTTGAGTCTATAAAGGCTTTCTTCCAATTTAGCTTTGCTGGCATAAAGATTTACTGAGCCCACACATTCATGCAACATTTTGAGACTTTTGGAAAGGTGAATTTTAGCTAGGATTGAAGCTCTTGTTGGTTGAAAGAGAATCTCCACCATGATGGAACAAGACAATCCAATGAAGGTTTCTATGACTCTAGCAATGGCAAATTCACTTGGAGGACCAAAATTTTCCCTACCCAAAATCAATACTGCCCCAATAACTGCTGAAATTCCCCCAGCCTGGCCGTACATACGGCTGCGCTGTAAAAAACAGCAGAAAATGAACCAAGGAAGAAGAGAGAGGAACCTTAACTGCGCAATCCTTTGGAAAACAAAGCAAACCAAGACACCATATACAGTTCCCAACACTGTCCCTTGAGCTTTAACATTGGAAACTTTAAAGGTTGCTTGTCTTGCTGATGCTAGGCTAATGGCAACTGGTAGGCCTGACCAATAACCATTTTCCTTGCTATATATCAACCCAAATAGCACAGCAAAGCCTAAAGAAAGTGAGCATTTAAAGGCTGGTATGAGCTTTCTACTACATATATTCATGGCCAATCTGCTCCAAATCCCTTTAAAAAACCATCTATCTTGGTTAGTTGTATCTGTTCTTTCTCTGATAGAATCAGTCGATGAAGAATCTACCAATCTGTTATTCAGAAGATTTAAGGAGAATAAGAAAAATAAAGAGGGTAAATCTGTTTGGATTGGTGGGATGGTTTGAAGACTTAAGAGGGACTGCACAAGATTTTTTGGATTTGATTCAGGGACAGTTGTCAAATCAAAAGGCATGCTATTTTTAACTTGATTTAGAGTCAGGTTAATTTCCTCCTCAAGCCCTGGTAGACCATCTTTGAGCTCTGCGTGTAGCAGTCCAACTGGAAATGAAGAAACACTGGAAAAAGCAATTTCCATCCCTCTTAAGGGTATCTCTAGTTGTTGCAATCTCTCTCCTGGGTTCATCCAATATGGTTTCAAGAATTTTATTGGAAGTCTCTCCCACTGCATGCTTTTCTGCAACATTAACATCACTTTTGTTCCAATTAACACCAAACACTTAGACCCATATAACCATTCTTCTACTCTCTCACCAACTAATCACCACCCAATTAAATTTTTTCAAAAAAAAAATCCAGTTTTTAACCCCTACTATTTTTTTTGTAATGCTTAAACTTCCCAACCGGTTAGGGTGAGAGAGAGAAGGGTGAGGAAATAGAAAAGAAGAGGGAGGGGATTCATGGAGCTTACTTGCTTGGATTTAATACTTTGGTGAAGTTTTGTTCCTGTAACAGCCAAAGACTTGGATTGAAATATCAGTGATAGTGCAGATGTGCTGTCTTCTGCACAGAATGCCTTCACAGAAATCTTTAGCCTCTCTGAAGCATTGTCTAAAAAGAGCTTGCAGTTTTGTTTTACCTGAAACACAAAAAGCTCTCCTCTTACATTTGCACCATAATGAAGTGAATTTGGCTTTTGACAAGCTTTCTTAATACATGAGTATTAGATTAGATTAATATATTAGATGAATTTTTTTTAGTTACTAATAACTACATTACTCTAAATACATAGCATTTGATACCTCACCTCGCAATAAGCCAGACTTGGGTAGGGAACCAACAAGGCCACAACACAGGCGAAGGCCCCTATGGCCGTACTGGCTGCCACGTGGACAGGATGCATAACAGCGTCAGTGTTTACACCATTGATAAAAGCTAAAACATACACAATGACAATCTGGCCAAGCGCTATACGCTTAGCGACCAAGTGAGTATTTTCCGGCAGAGCCACCACAAACGCACTCAGCGCCACCGCAGCAGCGGTGGTGCTCGTTGTCAACCGGGCGGGTCCGATCACCCACAGGCTCAAGATAGCAGGACATACGCCTTGGAGTGTCGCGTAGAGCGCATGGCAGCAGCCATGCAAGGTGTCACCTAGGGTTGCATCGGTGACTATGAGAATCACAGTCACGTAGGAAAAGGCTGGGAATGCTATCTGGCGGCGTAGGAATGCAGGGCCGTAGAGGGTAGCGCCACCAACTATGGTGGAGGCTACGGCAGTCCGGAAGGCGGAGGCGAGGCATGATCTCCACATGGTCCGAGCTCGCTCGGATTGAAATGTTGAGGTTGGCATTATTAAGAGTTGGACTTGGAGAGGGAGAAGAAGTTATCGAGACTTAAATTTAATTTTTCTATTTACTTTGGCTCTTGTCTCTCTCTCTCTTGTCAGAATCAAATACAAGGTATTTATAAGATTTTAGAATTAGCGTGAATTTAAAAATTAGATTTGATATTTTTAATCATTAAATAGGTAATGGGTTCCAATAAATACTAAAAGAGTAATGCTACATAAATTTAAAAACTAGACTTGATAATTTCAACCATTGAATAGATAGTGGGTCCCAATAAAAACTGGGACCTATAGTGAAATCAATAGTTGAAATTATCAAGTCTACTTTTTAAATCAATATAGCATTGCTCATATTGGTGAGTAATGCCACAGTAAAATCAATAATTAAAATTATCGACTCTAATTTTTAAATCTACGTAACATTGCTTTTTTAGAATATATGCATATCACCAATATATACATATTATCAATATATACACTATCTAAATACATAAATCTAAAATATATCAAAACATTAAATAAAGTTTAATTCTCGACAGGAAGAGCAGTAGACCCTCCGATTTCAGCTCTAGAGATACAATATAAACCAGTAATGCTACATTGATTAAATTTTAGAATCAAATTTAGAATTTAAATGATATGACAGTATGTTATTTAAAATTTTTATTGGAGTTTAAATGACATGATATTAAATAAAAAAATTTAAATTAATTATCATATCATTTAAATTTCAAATTTAATTCTAAAATTTGATGGATCTAACGTTAGTTAATACAATCACGCACGAGGTTGGTTTTGTAAGGGATAGAGATTCCAGAAGGAGCGCGTGAATAAACCCTCCAATTTCTCCCAACTCGCATAGTGGTGGGACCCAACTCCCAACTTCCTAGCATTACTCTAATATCCTTCGCAAAAGCAAAAAAATTTCAGGGAGGAATCCTTTAGTTGTGCTGAGCTGGATAACCTCCTGGCTATCGCTCTCAATTGTGCAGAACCGAATTTCGGATGCAGATGCAAATAAGCAGACTCCCAAGTCGAATCATGCAAAGATTTTGCAACTAAATATATTGTGAATTTACAATTTCAAAAATTCTATATTTGACCTAATTAATTATAGTTATTGGCTAGATTAAAAATAAGACCCGTCTATTATTAAAATTTTTCACTAATTTTTTTTTATCAGACATTATTACAGGGAGGGAACGGCAAGATTTAAACTTGCCACTAATTTCATCAAACTTGCTACTATTTTAATAATTTTAATAGACCGTATATTTGAATGAAGTCTTCAAATTAAATCCCTATAGTATTTTCTTAACAAAAAAATAAAAATAAAAATGAGTCCATTATGATTGCAATTGTAATCTAAAGATTGGTCTTCCTTGGTGAAAGAAGATTGGTCTTGTCACCTAAACTAATTTGGAATTCTATGAAATGTTCAATTAACAAGTTCAATAAAATAATAAACAATTTTTGTAAATAAAAGATGGAAAACTTAATGGAAATCACAACTTCTCTTACAATAGTTTATAGTGTTATCATGAAGTTGGACCGAGTTAAAAATGGGTAACTCCTAGATATCCACTAACTATACCCATTTTAGGTCCTTGTGTTGGTAAGTGATCCTTGGGAAGGGGGAAGGGTCAAAATAAAAGGAAAAGGTCTGGAGCTCTTATCAAATATTCTACTGTAGTAGTGCACAAGTTAGTTAAAGCAAATAAAGGTAATTATACTGGAATGTTGGTCATCCTTTAAAATTGTCAAAACTGTATTTTTTGGGGTTTGACTATCGGGAGTGTCAGAGTCAATTTAGACACACTTTNTGATTAAATTTTAGGATCAAATTTAAAATCTAAATGATATAACCGTATATTATTTAAAATTTTTATTGGAGTTTAAATGACATGATATTAAATAAAAAAATTTAAATTAATTATCATATCATTTAAATTTTAAATTTAATTCTAAAATTTGATGGATCTAACGTTAGTTAATACAATCACGCACGAGGTTGGTTTTGTAAGGGATAGAGATTCCAGAAGGAGCGCGTGAATAAACCCTCCAATTTCTCCCAACTCGCATAGTGGTGGGACCCAACTCCCAACTTCCTAGCATTACTCTAATATCCTTCGCAAAAGCAAAAAAATTTCAGGGAGGAATCCTTTAGTTGTGCTGAGCTGGATAACCTCCTGGCTATCGCTCTCAATTGTGCAGAACCGAATTTCGGATGCAGATGCAAATAAGCAGACTCCCAAGTCGAATCATGCAAAGATTTTGCAACTAAATATATTGTGAATTTACAATTTCAAAAATTCTATATTTGACCTAATTAATTATAGTTATTGGCTAGATTAAAAATAAGACCCGTCTATTATTAAAATTTTTCACTAATTTTTTTTTATCAGACATTATTACAGGGAGGGAACGGCAAGATTTAAACTTGCCACTAATTTCATCAAACTTGCTACTATTTTAATAATTTTAATAGACCGTATATTTGAATGAAGTCTTCAAATTAAATCCCTATAGTATTTTCTTAACAAAAAAATAAAAATAAAAATGAGTCCATTATGATTGCAATTGTAATCTAAAGATTGGTCTTCCTTGGTGAAAGAAGATTGGTCTTGTCACCTAAACTAATTTGGAATTCTATGAAATGTTCAATTAACAAGTCCAATAAAATAATAAACAATTTTTGTAAATAAAAGATGGAAAACTTAATGGAAATCACAACTTCTCTTACAATAGTTTATAGTGTTATCATGAAGTTGGACCGAGTTAAAAATGGGTAACTCCTAGATATCCACTAACTATACCCATTTTAGGTCCTTGTGTTGGTAAGTGATCCTTGGGAAGGGGGAAGGGTCAAAATAAAAGGAAAAGGTCTGGAGCTCTTATCAAATATTCTACTGTAGTAGTGCACAAGTTAGTTAAAGCAAATAAAGGTAATTATACTGGAATGTTGGTCATTCTTTAAAATTGTCAAAACTGTATTTTTTGGGGTTTGACTATCGGGAGTGTCAGAGTCAATTTAGACACACTTTTATTAATCCCTTCTCAGGTCCTGTAAAAAAAAGGATATTTTTCATAACTGTAAAATACAAATCAAGTCTTAAATACACACAATAACGTACAAATTATGTGCTTAGGTTAAATCTAATGTTGTATTCGTATTATCAAAAAGATTTGAACTAAAGACTTGTGGATTCACATCTCCTTTGTGGTTGGATTACTAAAACATGGATTGAAACTTGCGTATCAGTGCCCTTATTGCCTTTCGTTTTATAGCTTTTGTGTAAGCCAATGCACGAGGCTCACACAATAAGATGCCACCAACCCACTTTGTGCGCTGACCTGAAAAGAGGCAGAGATAGCAAAGCAGCACTTATCGTACCTTAACATTAGTGGGATACCATGTAAGAAAGTTGTTCAAATCTGTCTTCATTCGGGCAAAAGTTTCACTGGTGCATGTCTATTTTCCACTTGTTCTACACTACCCCCTCAGTTTCCCCATACAGTGGTTTTGGGCTTGTACATTACAAATGTTGTTGATTTTGATCAAGTTTTTGTAAAAAACAAAATTTATAAATTGTGTATATTTTTTTATAAAATGTCAATACGAAATACCACCTTTAAACGATAGAGTGTTAACTTAAATAAGATATTTTAACACATAAACAGTAGATGAGATAAGAGCAATAATATGAACAAAGATTATTAGCACTTTTAATAATGGCATGTGGTCCATAACAATAGAATGCTCATGATTAGGAAGAAGAGTAGCTAAATTGATAAAAATATAGCTTGTGGTTATTACTAAATAAATTAGAATACAAGTATATCTATATAAATAGGAAAACCAACAAGTAATTTAAATCTTGATAAAAACAGAATGTATATAATATCTATATAATAAAGTAATTAGTTTGGTTTATCTTAAGTTTTTTGCAGTTCAGATTGATTTAGTATTATTGATCCGACGATTATAATTAATCTATATTCTTGCAAGACTCTACTGCATTCATTTTATCTCACCTTATCCCCATTTAAACCATTGGAGAGATATCTACATTCCTACATGGCTCTAGTACATTCTCTTTATCTCTTCTCATCCCCATTCAAGAGATTGACTTGGACAGTTATCTATATATATATATATATTTTAATATCTATTAAAACTCTAATAAGAAGGATTATCTCTAATAAAATACAGGTTCATTAACATATGTTGTTCTATATATCTATCTATATATATCCATACCGATATTTATATCAATATATAAAATTCAATCTATAAAATAAGCAGTTCAAACACATAGTTTAAAATCTATATAATAAAGTAGTTAGATTTTTTTGTCTTGAACTTTTCGCGGATCAGATCATTTGAGAATTATTAATCCGACGATTCTAATTAGACTTTCATTCCTTTTAAAATTCTAGGACTCTCATCTTATAATTCTCTTTCTCTCTCTATCTTAGACAACTAACTTTCATACGTATATAACTCTTTCTCTCTTTCCCTCACAAACATTTTAAATATTTTAAACATACACTCTCCAATCTCTTATACTCTCTCTCTCTCTCTATATATATATTCTATATAATAAAGTAGAATGAAGTTTGAATTCAAAAAACAATGAGAAGTCCAGATCGTTTTGAGACAAAACATAAACACATCTAACGAACAATGTAATCCCAACATAAAAGACAGTTCAGATCATCTCAAACTTTTTGATCTAACAGTCTACAGTTAGTTATGAATTTTTTTTCTCGCCCATGAAGAAGCCTCTTATCGTAAGACTTTACACTCCTATCTTTCATACGTTTTTATCTTAAATTTGAAAAAGTACAATAACAACTCAGATTGAATTCATTTTAAATTAAATGATCTAAATTTCATTTAAATTCATCAAACTTAATCTAGTGGCTCACAACATATCCCACACAAAAATAAAATTCCACAAGGGCAGAGTCAAAAAAATACTTTAGGGTGGGCACATTAA